AATTTCAATAACTTCAAAAATTTGCAATAAATTCGAGAAAAACGTAATTATTATTTCGACTTTTAAAATTACAATAATTTTTTACTTAAAATAAATTTTTTGTTCGAATAGGCGTTTTTACTAATACTCGAATAGAATTAAATTTTTGGAAGCAGTTAAGCCTTCCTTCCTATCTCATCTGCTGCGATATGGCTGGCTTCGGTTCCAATCGTATCATGTCAGTTTATAGCGTTGCGGCGATTGTTTGAATAGATGTGAAACTTTTACTTTTACTATAAGTAAATCTACAGGTAAATCTATGAGTACAGCAAACAACAATAATTTTCTGCTGAACTGATTCGAAGCATAAACAATGGAAACTGAACTGACAGAATCAGACAGAGTAACAGATCAGTACTGAAGTATAAAGAAAAATTTATTACTCGTGCCAGTTCTCTGATATCTATCATCTGTATTGAATATAACAACGTACACAATACCTTTCTAGATTTGAAATTCTTCATTTAGAAACACTTATGTTCCTTAAATTTTCGAAGAGTCTCTCATCAAGGAGCATTCCAAAATAAACAGGACTTATTTCAATTTATTTTATTCAAAATTCAAAAGCTTGTCGAACGAGTGTTTTAGCTCGTTTACCGGTATGGTCGCAAGTGCAAGCCTTTCCTTTCAATGGAAAATGCATATTTCCGAAAAGAAACAAGTCGCATAGTTTCATATCAGGTGAATACGAGGAGCGGTTAATGAATTAAGTTGATATTTTGGTATGTTCAACGCCATTTCCATGAATTTCACTGATGATTTTGGCTGATTTTTGATGAATTCATGCACAGTTTCGATGGAATTTCCGGTGATCACGGATTTTGATTGGCCCACATCTTGATCGTCATTTATGTCCTCTCGACCACTTTGAAAACGTTGAGACCACCCGTGCACTCTGCTACGGGATAATCAATCATCGCCATAAACTTATTTCATCAACTGAAACGTTTCGGCAAAAGTTGCACCAATTTAAAAAAAAAATTTAATGTTGGCTCTTTGTTCGAAGCTCATTTTCTCACCGATACCGCAAACATACTGACACTCAGAACGCAACAACTTTACTGCCAATTAATGAAATGTCATGAAGTTCTCACTGAACAATCCACAAAAATATAAGATTCTAACGCATCAGTCGACATTTAGTTGGCGCCACCAGGGGCGCTAGATTCAAAAAGTCCTGTTTGTCCGGAAAGTAATAGAACTGATCATCTTCCGCTGCGACTGTACTTCGGAGTGTGCGCGCACCGACTGGATTCGGTAGAGTGCGTTCGTAGCTAACAAACGAGCCGCTGGTCAGTTGTCTCCAAGCACCTGAAGAGACAGGACAAACATTTTTGAGCGACGTGTTTCTGTGAGTGTCCGTCAAGACATCGCAGCCGATTGAAAGTTGCACCACGACAACGTTATTCATGTGAACAGCTACCTAACCAAGACCGGCATCCCAACGTTTCCGCAGCCGCACTACAGCCCATATATGCCCCTACGTTGGGTCCTAATTTTGTTTCCTTGCCTGAAAAGCCTGACAAAAGGCAAGAATTTTGAGACTATAGAGGGGATCTAAGCAGTACGCACCTCAGAACCTATTTTGAAAGTTTTTAAAGAATTTTCACAATTGTTCAATTACTTTCCAGACAAACCCTGTAGAATGGGGCTGACAGATTAAAAAGATTGCTGGAAATGTCAACGAACAGGTAACTGGGGAAACAATGGAGAACTTCTTGTGCACTTGTCCTGCGCTGGTAAGGCAACGACTCAAGCATTTAGAGCCCACGGCTTAGTACACTTGAAAACATATCGGTTGTGAGCACTGTTGTCTATTATCGTCAAGCACAGGCATTCTAAAGCATTGCTACTCCTTATGAATCACGAAACAGTACTCCCTCTGGTATCCTAATGGACGAAAACTGGTCTACTCGTGGCTTATTAGCCTACCAGAATAATGCAAGTTAACCTTTTAGAGTTTAGAAAGTGATCATTATGTGCAAGTGTTCTCCCTACGTTTATCTCAAATATGTATCTCAAACATTTGTTGATTAAACATATATAATTTTTCATTATTCTGGGTTATGTTTTATTGACTTAAACTAAAATAAAAAAAATAAAAAAAAATGATTTGTTTATGGCCATACACACATGATTATGTAACAGGTGGAACGTTTAGCTAAATTTATATTTTTGCCTTCAAGCATCTACAACAACACACATACATACATAAATGCATCATTTGCTTAGTATGCGTGATTTTCCGCACGTTTTTCCCACTTCAGCGGTTGGCACGAAAACGTGTGGGAAAAGTAAAGACACAAAAAATTATAAATTACCCGCACTGAGCGGCGATGACATCACACCATGCCACACTGCAAAGATCTTGTTAAATGTTATTTTAATTGGAGCAAAGCGAGATCGCAGAGAGGTGAGAATTTAGCGAACAACAGACGACACTGTTTGGGGAAAATTGGAAAAAATAACAATTAGACATAGAAGGAGATTAGTGATCATTCTCTCCAGCAGCCATACTCTCGTCGCTCTCTTGATGATCACTGAGCATTAAAAATTGTTAAAAATTGCCATAACTGTATTAACGCCTGCCGCCCACCAACGGACGGTCTCAGTGGCCAGCAGTCAGCAGTTCACTGCCACCACTTCAACGCGCAACAACACAACCGTTATAAAAACTATAAATTTTCTAGAAATAAAAGTTTTGAGTTTATCATAAAAATTGAAAAAAATATACTTTCGAAAAGCAGCATGGCAGCCGCTGTTCCAGAAACCCCACAGCTGGTGAAGGTCAAGCTGATACCGGTTGAATCGTTGGAGGAGCGCAAGCGCCACATTGTGGCCAATGTGGTGTTGGAGGGTCGCACCTCCGTTTTGCCGTACATAGATGATGCCGTTAGCCTTAGTAAAGTGACACAAAAACAATTGCTCGACACCACAGCAGTGCCGAAAAGCAGTCAGAAACGTTTGCGTTTCTACTCCGTCGGTCCGCGTACCTATCACACCAAATGTCCGCTGTGTCAGCAGTACGGCGATGCGGCTGTGATGCGTGCGGCGGGTTTAAAAGATGCCACCTGTTGTCTGTCGACGTTGTCGTGGTAAGTACATATTTTGAGTTATTTGTTCAATGCCAGTGTTAATTTAAGATTAAGTTTATCGTTTTAAATTAAACGCAAAATATTTAATATATATTAATTCCCATAAGATGAAATACGCTTATACCAACAATTTATTCAGTCCCTAAAGCACATTTGATAAGCACTTTTTTAGATGGAATTCATGTTTTTCAGGGCATTTTGTTTTATCTCTTCGATCGACTGAAAACGGCTTCCACGGAGCGACAATTTTAGTTAGAAAAAAAAAAAAAAAAAAAATAATAATAATAACACGGAGCCAAATTCGTTGGATACGGTGGTTGATGGTATTCATTGCATTTTTTCGCTTTAAATTCGGTCATAATCGTGGCTCGATACGATGGTGCATTATCCATGAATTGTTCTCCCACAATTCTGGCATATTTCGAAGGATGTTCTCATGCAAGTGGCTCAAAACGTTCAAACAGAACTACTTATTGACTGTCTGTCCCTCCAAATCAAATTCATAACCAAACCATGAATATTGGAATAATAACGTGCCAGTTTTATGGTTTCGGCTTGTTCCCTCCATTCCGATGATTGTTGACTTGTTTGCATATCATACTCATTAACCCATTTCTCATCGGCAGTCATAATGCCATTCATTAATGTCGGTTCGGAATTCGCACAACCAAGCATGTCTAAAGAGACCTGTCTACGGTACACGTTTTAAAATCGTGTTTTTAAGCTTTATCGGAACGAGTCGGGCAAAGACGCTTCGCATACTTGAAATGTCCACCAAAATTACTACAATTCACTCCCGAGAGACAGTGGGCAGAGGGTTGCTATCTCTCTAAAATTTACCTGACGATTTTTAACCACCGTATCCTTTACTTTTGTAATATTTTCATCAGTTGAAGGGGTTGAAGTTCGTCCAGAACGAGGCAACGATCTCTCGAACGTCTTTGAAAGCTTTGCACTACACGCAGGATTGTACTTTTAATAAAGGAATCTTTTGTATTTCTGATTGGTAATATAGCTTCGGTGCAACCGAAGTTAATATTTTTCTTGGTATTAACTAAGAATAGGCATTTTACTTGAAGACTGTAATTATTTTATTACAAAATTATTATTTTTATTCGATTTAAAATATTTTTTAGTTGTAATATGTAGAGTTTAGTTAATTTTTTTTTTTAAGGGAATTGACGTAAAAAGTAATATTTGCATTCTTCAAATAAAATATTTCTACAATTTATTTTTTTTTTATGTAATAAATATGTATTTTTAAAATTTTCAATTTTTGTTTTAGATTTAATCAATTAAATTGACAAAGACTTCTGGATATTGCTCCAATACCAGCATTTGAAAACAACTAAAAATATTATTCAAATATTTAAATTAAATGGCATAAAACATTTAATTTTTCTCCATTGTAGCTTCTTCCCGATCTTCTGGCTCTGCTGCATTTGTACCTGGTGCGGCTGTAATCGCGAGTGGATCACGAAAGGCATTTACTGCAGCAAATGTGGCGGCAAATTGGGCATACAACAGAGACCGAAATGAGTGCCGTAATAGCAAAAATAAATAACAAAATTAAAAAGAATTAAAAATGAACAAGCGAACTCGGAACCGTGCAATATTTCCTAAATAACAAAGCCAATAACGAAAATGAAAAAATAAATTATAAAAATATAAATATAAATTATAATTTATAAAATAAGCACTCTCATACATAATTTAAGTTTAACTAATTAAAAGTGCAATAATAAATATGCATTTCTTTAAAGTGCGCGCTCTCGAAAATACCTTACCTCGAATAACAAAAAAATATTGTTTTTGAAACTTACACTTTAGTTTGTAAACACTAAAAAAGTTTAATAATCAAGTAACGCGAACCGCTCACGATCGATTATCATACTCACTCTGAGCAGCAGCTCTATTAGGTGCTCTGAGAAGCTAAACGTAGGTGGTAGCGTAAAAACTTTCGCTTTTTTCACTCATATCTGAGAAATATATCAGTTCTCTCTTACTCACCCTCTAACTCTCTCGCGCGCTCGCTTGGCTACTACCTAGTGTTCACTGTTGACCTCAACTGAGATATTTGTTAGCCGTTGGATTTTAGTATGTTTCTTTTATTGCCGGACGTGTAGTCATTGCGCTTTTTAAGCAATTCTTTATTCTACTTTTTTTCGCGAGTAATTTATAATAAGTAATACGAAAGCGAGTGCGTTTCTTTGCATATAATTAAATATAACGATTAAAACATGATGTCGGAATCCAACTCCACGCCAAATACACCCGCGATTGAAGACAGCAACAACACACCTGCCGCGGTAGATAACAATGCCAAGAAGCCCTTGTCTGAGAAGGAGCTGAAGGAGTTGAAAGAGCAGCATATTTATAATAATTTCGCCACACCACTCATTGGCACCTATCTCAATTTGCCGCAGGAATCCGTAATGTTGAAGTGTCCTGCTTGCGGGATTATTGAAATGACACAAGTCGAAAACGATATGAAATGGTGGGCGACGGAGATCAATCGCTTCGTCGGCTGTTTGTGGGTGTAAGTGCGACATTTTTTTATTAACAAGATTTTTGAGTGTGAAATAGTGTTGGTGTGGTGTTTTAGAGTTTTTCAATACATTTCTCGCCTTCACCCTTCACAGATGCATTTCCTTTAGTAACTATGTGTTCAGTTTGTGTAGAAGCTATTTTTTCGGAGATTATATTGTTACCTTAAGCAGTAAGCCATGTCAAATTTTGTGAAGATACCACGTCAAATGCAAAAGTTTTCCATACAAGAGCTGGATTCCTTGACAGCTATATGCTATAGTGTTCCTATCTGAACAATTTCTTCTTAGATTACATTATTTCTATGAACAATAACTTATACCAAATTTCGTGAATATATCTTGTCAAATAAGGAAGTTTCCCATGCAAGCATCTGATTCCGATCATTCAGTTTGTATGGCAGCTATATGCTATAGTTAACCGATCTGAGCAATTTCTTTCTATATTACATTGTTGCCTTAGAAAATAATCTGTCCCAACTTGTGTGAAGATACATTGTCAAATGTGAAAGTTTTCCATACAAGAACTTGATTCCTATCGTTCAGTTTGTGTGGAAACTATATATATACTGTTATAGTGGTCCGATATCGTCAGTTCCGACATATGAGCAGCTTCTTGAAGAGAAAATTATGTCTGCAAAATTTCAAAACGATATCTTAAAAACTGAGGGACTAGTTCGTATATATACAGGCAGACAGACACACAGACGGACAGGCAGACGGACATGGCTAAATCGATTCAGCTCAACATACTGATCATTTATAAATATATACACTTTATTGGGTCTCCGACGCTTCCTTCTGGGTGTTACAAACTTCGTGACAAACTTAATATACCCTGCTCAGGGTATAAAAACTTAATATTCTCTTTAAAATGCGTTATTTTATTGTGTGTAATTATTATTATATCGAAATTTCTTCCAATGTTTCGCTTCACGAAGCTTCAGCTGTTGGCCGTATATTGGTTTTAAGGGGTCAGTAGGGTAATCTCGCATGTGTTTTTAATATTTTTTTTTTTGCAAAGACATTTTTATTCAGCAATAGAACTTTTTTTTTACATATCACAAGGTATATCGTAGAGAGTATAAACAAATTTTTCAGAATTTTTTGGTGAAATCTTTTTTTTCACTAGCAAACACACAAAAACCCAATTTATTTTTAATAAGTACGTGAATGGTTATCGTCCCTACTAGACTCATGAAAAAATGTTGATAAATAAAAAAGCTATTAACGTTTTTTTGTTTATTTTTCCCTAAGTTTTTTTTTCATAAATTTTGTCATAAAATTCATATGTAATATTGTCAATAAATTGTAAAAAATATAGGAACGTGGTTCAAAAAGGTGTGTTTTGAGAAAAACGCGTTTAAAGTTTGGGGTATGCACTCCGAGCTCTCCGAACATCGAGCGGTAAAGTGGGATTCTTCATTAATTCTAAGAGTATATAGGAACAGAAAATGTAAAAAAAAAACTAGCGATTCTTTATGTATTTATGTCAAAACTTATACAGAATCGGCATTTTTTAAAATAAGCCAGAGTACTACGCTCAATTGAAAACACAGTTCAGTTGTTAAAACTTGAGTTGTTTACAAGCACAATTCTCTCGAACAAAACTGAACGTAGTTGAAAAGCTTGCTTTCGGCTTTATGAGGTGCCAAAGCTTGGTGCTTGTTTCAGCTTCCTTTAAGTAATAGCTGCGATACAAAGTGAACGATCACAATCAATTCTTTGTATGAAAACCTTTTTTTGATTGACAAGATATCTTCACGAAATTTGATGTGAATTATTATATAAAGTATCGCTATAATCTCCGAATATATTGTTCAAATCGGACTACAATATAATACGCCCTTATAAATTATAAAAATGCACTTGTGAAGTGTAGCTTCTAATTTTATGTTAGAAAAATTATTAAAGTATTTTAAAAACAGTAGAACATAAAATGAAAGAAATGTATTCACTATTAAGTAGTACTCTTAATCTATTGTGATTTTATTCCTACACTTTACTTTCAGTTCATTTTGCTGTTGCTGCTGTATGGACTACTTTATACCATGTAAACAAACGGATCGCAATCATTATTGCAAGAAATGCGGTTGCTACTTTGGACGCGCTATGAAGCACTCAGCAATTAAACCGAAGAAGCTGGCAGCCAAGTCATGAGGTAGTTGTCACCCACACATACGCACACTTAGTTGGAAAATACATACTCGTATAGATTCCTTTACTGCCAAGGAGGCCGATTAACGAAAAGGCAAAATAAAAACAAACAATAATAATAAGAATAATACAATTAATAAAAATATCTGCTTTCCAATTTTTGTCTTCACGAAAACACTCGATAATACAATGAAAATAAACACATACACAGTTAAATAAAAAATATTTTTGTATATACATATTCTATATATGCTTATAATTAAATATATGTAGCACTAAACCGTAATTAAGCGCACATATTTACATACGTATGTATTTTATTACACTTTTAGTTCTTTTTTTTTACATTAAGCCTTGAAAAATATCTACATATATCCCAACGTATTTCTAGAAAGCATGTGTAATTTAACAAAAATAAAATTTTGATATTTTAAGCGAAATTTTCGTGAACACATTTCATTTTATTTTTATTCTCTCTTTCGTATCAAACAAATTTTATATACTCCAGAGAAAGGTGAACTAATTAGTGCACACCTTTTGTATGCTATGTATGCAAGGTTGCGCGGAATTTGTCAGTTTTTCTGAGCTTTCTTCGACTTTTGAATAACAACTATGTCAAAAAGTTAAATTATTTTTCCACAAGCTCACTAAATATGTCTCATTACATTTTATTTCCTGTCGAGTGACCTATTTTTAATGCCAAATAAAGAAAGAAAAGTGGCAGCGTAATATCGATTTCGATATCGTTTTTGTAATTTTCCTTTGATTCGAAATAGGCCTCAGTTTCGGCGGTCACATATTCGCTCGACGGATATTTCTTTCCAGTGAGCATTTTTTAACGCTAAGCAGTAGCTGAACATCTGCAAACCCTGCTTCGAATGCTCAGCTCGTCGTAGTTTGTGGTCAAAAGTGAGCTCCCGTGGCAACAGCTTTTCGCACAGCTTTCTTATACCCAAAGATTGGTGCATAATATAATAATAATTAAATTAATTATTGCCCTTAGAGTGCCTGCTACCTTGGAGAACCTATTTTGATTTTGGTTGATTTTCCTGAGGCAGTGTCCGGAAACTCGCCGTCAAGATTTCGCTTCAACTGTGATTTCCCCTCAAAAAGCGATATTTTATCAACACCCCAATTTTTACAGTGATTCCCTCTTTAATAACCGTTTTTGTCGATTGCGCCAAGACCGGGTACGGGAACACGTTGGATAACAAAATAGCTTGATGATATTGATAAAAAGGTCGGACAGTTCTTGGCTAGTCTTGAGCGCACTGTCGGTAGCCTGATCTAATGATGTTGGCTGATAATACAAAATAACTAAATTATTGAACACAAAAGTAAACTTTATCGTGGTTTTTATTTAATTAGTACCTTACTTTTTTAGAGAGGCTAATATTATAAGAAATTGAATATACTACTGTGGCAAAAAATAAAACAAAGACATTGATGCTTGAGAATCGATGGTTAACATTAGAGATCATACTGGCATCGTTAGAATATCGGAAGGATCAGTGAAAACGATTTTGAAAGGTCTTTTGGGCGTAAGAAAAGTGAAATTGGTTATAAAATGACCAAATTTTTTTGAATAATTGCCTCGTGTTAATGAATCCCGACTACTAGGTTGTCATAATATGTGTTAGTACCGGCGATGAGTCTTGGATTTATACTTGCGACGCGGAAGCATACGTGATCGCGAATTATCGTGCAAAGGTGAGCCGAAGCCGAAACTGCATCAAAGCAGGTCGAAAATCAAGGTTATGTTGACAGTTGAGTTTCATGCGCCGTTCGCTTGAATCTATTCGTAAAAAGAGGCCGGATATGGGGTCCAACAACTCTTGGTTTTTGCACCTCGATAATGCCCCGTCGCATATTGCATTAATTCTTAGTGAGTTTTTCGCCAAATTTTCACCCAACATCGTGCCGCAACCACCGTATTCCCCTGATTTGCCTCTGTGTCACTTCTGGCCATTCAGCAAAGTCAAACGACCGCTCCGGGTAGTTAATTGAAGAAATTAAACGTGTATCGCTACGGGCATTGATGACTATTCCGCAAGTTGATTTTAACAACTGTTTCGAAGATTGGAGAAAATGATGACACAAGGGTATTGGGACCAAGAGGGATTACTTTGGGGGGACGACATGGATTCTGATTGAATAAATCAGGAATTTTAAAATTATAAACAAAGCTCAGTAGTATGTATTAATAAAATATAATTAAATATAATTCTAACCTCAGCGAAATAAAAAAAATCTTTCACAAAATTTAAATTTTTTACTTTTTTGTTAAAATTATAAGTAAGGTAAGCAATTTTCTATATTCTCGCTTTTCCTTTTGCCATTTAAGTTTCTCACTGAAAGCCTTTTTCAATTGTATTTTAATTTTCCCTTCTTTGTTGGCATAAAAATAGCAACAGAAATTTAAGCGTCTGGTGAATGTACAGCGTTCGGTGGTGGCGTGCGGTTCGCTGCTCGAGAACGTTTATATCATGCCGTCGGATGTTTTTGACATTGAGGCGTTGGCGGTTGTTCTCGGATTGCTCATCCGTGCTCGCCAATATTGTTTTGCGGCAATGCAGACACACTTTATTTAATTGATGTATTGAGGCCTGAGGTATATTTATGTATACGGCGTGTGTATGTGAGTGTGGTAGTAACTGACAGCGGAGCAAACGAGCGACAGTCAACAAAAGTGACCAAATATTCGAGTAACTGAGGAATTCCAACGAATACATGTGGTTGCGGCTGCTCGCTGGTGCTCAGCGGCTGGCTCGCGGCTCTGCTTGGGTTTAGTATAGAACGAAGCGTGCTCACGGTCGCAAGTATTTACATATAATCGTGTTTTTTCCTCACTATTTCGGTTGTAGAGCGAATATATTGGGTTTGTTTTAAATCTTTGTTATTGACTTTTATAAACAGTTATCTTTATTTGTGTAACATTTTACT